CATCATCTTGCTTCTATTAATGCAGCTGGATACAGTGTTAGCTCTTCTAAGGGCCACATGGAGCTTTCCTACAATAATTCCTCCAGGTCACTTTCAAACACACAATCCTGATAGTTCACATCTCCCCTCAGACTTGGATGACTGGCGTATTTTAATCTCAGAGGACATTTTGCATTTTCCCAGCCAACGTGTTTTGTCCATCTTTCCAACCTGTTGACTGACTATCCCTCTTGATGCTATGTCATTCGTGAATCGGGTAGACCTTTCCCAGACCTAACTCCAGCCCTTTGGCCTCTGAGCTTTGCTTTCCTTATCTCTTACATGTGATAGTAATTGCTTTGCTGAATGTTTATGATTTTTAATTAAATTATAATAATTGTCCAAAGACCTCCCTGGCATAATGTTTACCATATCCTCAACAGAAGTTGATTTTCATTAGTCGGATAATTGCTGAGGTTTTTTGCTGACACAGAACCGTGAATAAACACTGTTTTGTAAGTTATTCATCTACTTACAAATCTGCCTCTTCCACAATCATCCAAATTCCGTTTGTGTTCTGTGTGGTTTGTAGACTATTGTAAAACTCTCAGAGGTCCAAGAACATATTAGATGTGATTTAAATATTTAGAAATGTGTTAGTCTTTTCTCATCGCTGCGGTGTGCTCAGTGAGGAAGTAGGGAGTGGGGATCTCAGGCCAGGCTGCAGCTGGATGTAACCTCCTAGACTCACCCCTCTAGCTTCAAGACAGTGAGATAAGTCCCATGTCCAGAAAGTTCTACAAGCCCCTTAAACAGCACCACCAGCTGGGGACCAAGTGTTGAAGCCCAGGAGCTTGTGGAGGGCATTTCACATTCGAACTGTAACTAACAATAGGCTAAACAAATGACTCGGCCGAATGGCCATTCCTGTGAGGACTAAGTAGAAATTGGATTCATTCATTCATTGGTCTTGTATCCATGTGAGTACATAGTTATAAAACAAGGTGTGTCAAATGCATCAAAAATAGACAAAATGAAGTGATTCGACAATATATCAAGATGGTAGACATAGAGAACTATTTAAGTGTCTTTGTGTATCTCTGTGCAATCCCAGTTTCTTAGATGAATTAAACTTTTGCTCTGGCCTATAACCCACGGCATCATAATCTGCTTCCTTGACCCACCTTCCCATTGAACTTCACCTTGTCCTCAGGTAGAAGAGCAGACACAGGCAGAGGGCAAGACCATCCTCTGGGACCATTCATTCATTCCAGGTCTTCACAGAGGAACCCCAGTCAGAAGAGGCTGCATTGAATCCTGGACCTTCTGTAGCTCCTCTGTTGCTTCTTTTTGACTAATCTCCCTCCTTGTTCCTTCTCAGGACAGAGCACATGGACACATACACACACACACACACACACACACACACACACACACACACACACACGAGGAAAGCAGAGCAATCCCACAAGCAGCAAGGGAGAGGTAGGTGTAACCCTAAGCATAGATATGGTAGGGAGAACAGAGTGGGTCACAGAGTCAGAGAGCAGGACAAAGGCCATAAGAGAAGGGACAAAGCCAGCAGAATGTGAGGGGAGAAAAGGGGTGGAAAGGGCGGTGACAGAAGACGAGAAGCAAGCAACAAGGAGAACAAGAGGACAGAAGGAAATAAGAGAGATGTTAACCGGAAGAGGAAAGGGATAAGAGGAAAGGTCTGCCAAGGAGAGAGGAAGTGAGACGTCAAGAGGAGGCAGAGAGGGGATAAAGTGGCAGCGGAAAGGGACAGGCGGGTGGTGAGGCTGTGGCTTCACAGTTGGAGTTCTCTGGCCCCACACGCCACACAGCACACGGGTTCTCTTGAATCACAGCTCATTTGGGCCTTCCTGTTTTCAGCTTGTCTTTGCAAACCCTTGGAGACCTTTCCAGCCAGGAAATCAAGCAGAGAACCAAGGTTCTCTGCCTGGAGCCCAGGCCAGAGGCCAGCTCTACATCCCACAGCTATGCTTCTCACACCCCGTCACTACCCTCCATCCTAAGGACCAGCTGCAGGCCACCTGCCCCCTTCTCCAGAGCTGTTCAGGGTCCCCCAAAGGGCCCCTTGTACTCTATGAAGTTGGGGCAAATGTGAGTGGACAACATCAGAACATCAGGATGGTGTCAGGGCTGAGGTGCAAAGGACAGGGGACATGGGAAAAGAGGAAGGTGCCTCTGAGGGCCAGTCCTACTCTGGTACCATCCAGCCAGACTGCCTGCACACAGCCCCTCAGGGCCCCTGCCTGCCTCTGGTCCAATATCAGAATGTTCTGATGTCAATATGAAGGTAGCAGGGGAAGGTAGCATGGGGACAGGCAGGATCCCCAAGGCCAATCAGATGGGGCAGCCCTCCCGGCTGTCCACAGCCTCTAGGAATCAGCCTCTACATTGTCTTGGGATCACAGCTATGGAGCCTTGGCTTATACCCTGCCCTTGGTCTTTGGGAGCTCCCCTAGCTCCTCTCCCTTACCCCAGAACACAACTCTGCTCCTGGCCTCAGCCTAGTAAACAGGGTGAGTTTCTCTCTCAAGCCTCTGGACCACAAAGCCAGTCTGCCAATTGCACGTACTCACATGAACACACATACACACTACTGTATAGGCCCAGTAGCACCTGATACAACAGAATATACACAGCAAACATCGCATGAGCACACAAAAACAGACCACATAGTGCACATCAAATACATGTAGACACACCACGCACTTCATAACACACCCACACTTTAAAATTTTTTAATTGGATTTTTGTGATTCTCATACAATATAATTTGATGGATCCCTTCCCCTACCCAGACCTCACCTTATTGCCCCTGCCCAATTTAATGTAATATATATATATAATATATATATATATGACCTGCAGAGTCTAATTTGTGTCCCAAAATGTTCTTCAGTGTACATCCATCCACTGAAGCCTGGTTAATCTACCAAGACTCCGATCCTTGAAAGAAACTGTGTCTCCCCCTCCCAGAAGCCATCATTTGCCAAAATTTCCTTAGGTTGTATTGGGGTTTCTTACTCACTTCCCCATGTCTATGCTAGGATTTTGTTGGGTTTGAGCTTACATGGGATTTATGCATGCCTGTTATTTTGCCGTGAATTCATATGAGTAACTGACCAGCTGTCTGGAAATCTCTGTTTCCTTGTGGATATCTACCTCTGGCTCTTACAATCTTTCTACCCCATCTTCTGCAACAATCCCTGAGCCTTGGGAGGCAGAAGTTTGATATGGGTTTCTTATTCAAGGATAGGCACTCTGCAGCCTCTTGTTCTCTGTACATTGGCCAGTTGTGGGTTTCTGTGTTAATCACATCAGCTACATTAAAAAAAATCTCTAGTGAGAGCTGAGAGATGCATTAATCTATTGGGTATAACAGTAACTCATTAAACGAGTCAGTTTGCTTTGATAACTATTCAGTGGGAAACTAGTATTAGGCTATCCTCTATGTCCTTTGACCTGACTAGCCTCAGATTCCTAAGCCTGATATCAGTGTCAGGTATGGGCTCCATCCTATGAAGGAACATTTAATCCAATTAGAGAGTGTTTGGTTACTCCCATAATATTCGTGCCACCATTGTACCAGTGGGAATATATTGCCAGGCCAATTGTTGTAGTTCACAGGATTCACAGCTGGGTAAGGATGATGATTATTTTCTCCTTCCGGTAGCATGCATAGCACCTTCCAGCACTATGAACAGTAGTCAGTGGAGATGAGGCTCTGAAGTCAGTACCAGCGTGATTTCTCCTTGTTCATTCTACAGCTCATGAATGAAGTGTCTTCAGCAGTAGGGTCTTTCCATCAAGTTCTAGTGGGTAACCAAGAGCAGGCGCAATGGTCAGTATTGTTTGAAGGTCTATAGGACCCACAGTCAGCAGCTTCTAGAGAGGGAATCCATTCCTGGCATTGAGGGTATTTTTAGTCTATGATGGGACAATGTCCCCTGGCTATAGGGTAACTCCTTTTAATCATTTTTTATAATGTATATGTATTTTCTTTAAGAAGCTTCTATAGTGGTAGATTTTCATATGGCTTTTTCTAAAAGCCTTTAATGTCACTTATTCGGCCCAATACTCCCTCCTCTGCCCTCACATTCCCCACCCTATTTAACACTTCCTATTCCAAGGTTCCCCTTCCCCCTTCCCATGACTGTATCGTCTTCGACCCCTCCCAGGAAGCCTCCCACACCTTGTTAGTTTCTTGACCTCTTTTGGTTTTCAACTGAAACATGCAAATCTAAGATTTCAAAGCTAGCATGGGGCTATGAGAGAGAACATGCAACATTGGTCTTTCTGGGTCTGGGTTCCCTCACTCAGGGTGATTGTTTCCAATTCCATCCATTTACCTACGAATTTCATAATTTCGTTGTTTAAAGATCTGAGTCATATTCCATTGAAACACTTTTCTAACCAGGCTCTCTAATACCCTCATTACACTCTCCCATTTAACCCCCTACCCAATTTTTTGAGAGATTTTTTTTTTTCGGAAAACACAAATTAAACCACTTATTCATTAAACTCCAGACTTTCCTCCTGTGATGTCCCAAATGTGTTGGTTAAAATCTCAGCATCTGCTTAGAGCTAGCAGAGCCCTTCACAAATTGTACCCAGAGAATGTTATCCAGTTATTGTTCCCATCCTCCTGCCCAGCGTTCAGGTGACCACCCTGCCCTTCCCAGAGGCCCTGACAGTCACACTTTTTCATTCCTCCACAGACCGTACCTAGTCACACACCCAGTGCATCTGAGAACTGTATTCATCCTTCTGAGCCCCTTGGACCTCACACCTTCTCTAAAGAGGTCCCAGGTAGAATCAGTGCCTTCCTCTCTGTTCCTTGGGAAAGTAGGCAGTGGGAAGTTTTGCCTCCTGCATGTGTCTCCCCTGTGAAGCAGGTGATCTCTGTTAGAGAGCACACTTCCCCCATGCGGGCAGGTACTCAGTAGAGGTGGGGTGGGTGGCCATACTCACAAGTCCTCCTCGTCCCACAGATCAAAGTAGAAAACCAGCATGACTACCAGGACATCACCAGCATAGTGGCTATGGCCAAAACCTATGCCACTACAGAGGCCTTCATCGACTCCAAGTATGACATCCGCATCCAGAAGATTGGATCCAACTACAAGGCGTACATGTGAGTCTGCAGACAGGAGTTGGGAGGAAGGTGGGAGAGGATGGGAAGAACCGGCCACCCCCAAGCCCCATGGTGACCTTTCTCCCCCAGACTCTCCCTGAGTGCATCCTGCCCTCTGGTCTTACAGCTGAGGCCTCATGTTCTATCACAGCTTAGTCACACATGCAAGCTACCCAGTGAAAGAAACTCAGCTTGTTAGGGGGAAAATGCAGGGTGTGTGTGTGTCTGTCTGTCTGTCTGTCTGTGTGTTTTTGTGTGTGTGTCTGTCTGTCTGTCTGTGTGTTTGTGTGTGTCTGTCTGTCTGTCTGTCTGTGTGTTTGTGTGTCTGTGTGTGTGTGTCTGTCTCTGTGTGTGTGTGTCTGTCTGTCTGTCTGTGTGTTTGTGTGTGTCTGTCTGTCTGTGTGTTTGTGTGTCTGTGTGTGTGTGTGTCTGTCTCTGTGTGTGTGTCTGTCTGTCTGTCTGTGTGTTTGTGTGTGTGTGTCTGTCTGTGTGTGTTTGTGTGTGTGTGTGTGTGTATGGTGTGTAAAACAGAAATCTGTCATCCTCTGGAACCAGCAATACCTGTTAGAAAGTCAGATTAGGTTCTTTGGTTGCAAGCAACAGAGAGCACTCCTGAATATTCCATTGTGTGTGTGTGTGTGTGTGTGTGTGTGTGTGTGTGTGTGTGTATGTGTTTTAAGGGAATTGATTATGAAAGCATGGGTAATCAAAAAATTTAAAAAACAAACTAAAACTCCTTTAAATTATTGATTTTGTTCAGAATTTCAGAAACATTAGAAGTCAGAGCAGTCCCAAGAATATGAGTAGCCAGAAATAACAGGTGATACTCCCAGCACTGCCCATGGGCGAGGAATCCTCCCCAGTGTGTGATTCCTCAGAAACAGCAAGGATTCACCCAGCTTCTGCATGTGGGTTAGAGAAAGGCAGAAAATCATCATGGAGAGTCCCAGCAAGAAGGCAGACAATTGGAGCAAGGTCATTCTTGGTGGAAATAGAGGTGCTAAGGCAGAGCTGTGAGTGCCAGGTGACAAAACCAGTCCACCACCCCACTCCAGGGTGGGTCATCAAAGGATGGGCTCCTGGATAGCTGAGACCATAGCCTCAGTGGGACTGTGGAGGAGGCGGGAAGGCTTTCCCTTGGAGAGGTCTTACCTGCTTCTGGGCCTCTCTGCCCTCAGTTTGGAAAGTTTCCTCCACAAATGCTGCCTCCATTTCAAATGGTGAGACTCCACACAACCAACTGTGGCTGTCACCAGCTGTTCATACAGCACTGGCTGTGGGCATAGCTTCATATTTGAGGTCTGCCGTGGTTAACCATGGACAGTTGGACAGTCTGTCTGTCCATGTGCTTCAGTCCAGCATAGCTTGTGCCTGAGGACTCTGTGGACAAGCCCAGCAGCCACTTGATTCTGTAACGGAAGTCTGTCAATCACAGCTGTGCAAATCCTTGAATGTATAGCCTGCTTTGGCTATTCGCCCCCTGGGTTGCCTAGGCCAGCAGATACCATGTCTTTGTGTAAAGGCCCAGGTAAGGGCTATGGAGGTAGTTCAGCCTGAGGACCTGAGTTTGATCCCCACAGCCACATACAAAGCAGGCATGGTGGCAAGCACTTGTTATACCATTGCTGAGAAGGAGACAGGCAGATCACTGGGGCTCACAGGCCAGCCAGCCTGCTCTAATTGGCAAGCCCTGAGTCCCAATGTGAGACTTGGTCTCCATAAAACAAGGTGGATTTCTCCTGAGGAACAGCACCAGAGTTGACCTCTGGTCTCCACATGTACCCTTATCACATGTGAACCTGTGCACATACAAACATATATATATATATATATTTGCATATACATACCTCACGTACACATAAAAAAATTTAATAGGGCTGGGGGGATGACTCAGTTGATAAAGCACTTGAGTTGCAAACATAAAGACCTGAGTTGGATTTCCAGAACGCACATAAAAATGCTGGGTGCAATGATATGCACTTGTAATCCCAGTACTGAGGAGGCAGAGACAGGAGGATTTCTAGGGCTCACTGGCCAGCCAGTCTAGTCTAACTGGTGATCTCCGGGCCAATGACAGATACTGAAAGAGGTGGATGGCATTCCTGAGGATGACACCTGAAGCTGTCTCCAGCCTCCACAAGTATACATTGATGATATGTATACATACATGCACACACACGTGCGTGAGCACACACACACACTAAAAAATAGTAAGGAAAATAATAATAAAGAGCCCGAGTGTTGATTTTAAACTTTGCCTTCACAGCCATGTAGTCAATTGCAACTGCTTTGCTCAGCCATTACCTGAAGCACTTTCTAGTGATGCAGGCAGTTGACTAAGGACATAGTCCCAAGAAAGAGACAGAGTCAATCCTCAAGGGCTAGCTCTGTCCCATCCTGACTGTCCCCAAGGCAGGCCAGAGCTGTCACTGCTCTCGGATGTCCTCTAGGAATGTCTCAGGGATAAGATCACCTCCTTCTGCACCATCTGGGTGAATTCCAATGAGGCACTCCAGTGCATTCTGGAGGCCCCATGATATCATTTCCCGCCTCTCCTCGTTGTTAGAATTTCCATTTGACATTGACGACACCTTGCCCCGGTTTCTTTTCTCAAGGATTACCTCATTGCTGCATTCTTTAGGCTGAGCCTTTCTGGCTTGACAGCTCCAATTTGTCATTGGTTACAAAGATTCCTGGACCCTAGGTTGGTCCACATCCAGGGGATGGGGACCATGCTACATTTCAGCTGAGAAAATCCTCCCTGCCTGAAACCATTCAACCTCCTGCACTCAGGCCTTTGTACTTGCTGCCCCTGGCATGTCACTGTTTTTTAGATCCTTTTAGCAAACACAGGCAGGACATACCTGTGTGTATTTATCCATGTATACACAAGCCTCCATCCACCTGCATGTATGTATATTACTCTATATGGAGTCATACACTGTTGTCTGCACTTTCATTCAGCACTATGTGGTTTGCTCTTGCATTCCCTGATTGCTTGTCTATCCCTTCCTGTGCCAGCCAAGAGGAAGCTCACTTCTACTACCCACTACCCACTGAGTTATCTGCTTGACCCCCATCCATGCGGACAGTTTTGGCCTGTGCCTTCTGGCTCAGTGGAAAACAACTTTACCATCTGCAGCACGTCAGACCTTTGGTCTTAGAGCCTCCACTCACGTCCAAAAGCTCAGGCCAGAAGCTTTTCCTCCACCCACTTCTACAGGGTTGTGCACATGTGCTATAGTCTGTGTCCCCTTGGAATTCATGTTGAAATTCCAACCCACACCCAAGTGATGATCCTAGGAAGAAAGTTTGGGGAGGGGATTATAACATCAGGACAGACTCTAGAATGGGATTAGTGCTTGTTCTAGTTTCATTCTGTTGCTTTGATAAAACCATGGAAGAACGCTTTGGGTTCTGGTTGTCTTTTCTCAACTTGACACTAACTAGGAACACCTGGTAAGAAGAGCCTCAACTAAGGAATTTCCTCCATCAACTTAACCTACAGATATGTCTGTGGGGCATATTGCTGGTTGGTGTAGGAGGGCCCAGCCCACTGGGGGAGGTGCCACCCCGAGCTAGGTATGGTGGCACATGCCTTTAATTCCAGCACTCAGGAAGCAGAGGCAGGCAGATCTCTGAGACTGGGGCCAGCCTGGCCTACATAGCGAGTTACAGGCCAGCTGGGGCTACAGGGAGACCTTGTCAAAGAAAAGAAAAGAAAAGAAAAGAAAAGAAAGAGAGAGAAAGAAAGAAAGAGAGAGAAAGAGAGAGAGAAAGGAAGAAGGGAGGGAAGGAGGGAGGGAAGGAAGGAAGGAAGGAAGGAGGGAGGGAAGGAAGGAAGGATAGGAAGGAAGAGAAAAATAACTGAGCAGGCCGGAGGAAGCAGGGCAGCAAGCAGCACTCCTCCATGGTCTCCACTTCAGGTTCTGCCTCCAGAATCCCCCCTGTTCCTGCCCTGGCTTCCCTCAATGATGGACTGAACATAAACTGTAAGATGCAATAAACCCTTTCCCCCCTAAGTAGGTTCTGGTCAGTTTTTTTCACGGCAACAGAGAAGCAAAGGACACACTCTGATCAAAAGCAACTTCAAGAAGAAAAGGGTTTGCCTCAGCCTCCAGGTCACAGTCCATCATTGAGGGAAGTCAGGGAAGGAACTCAAGCAGGAACCCAAAGCAGAGACCATGGAGGAATGCTTCCCGCCACCTCCATCACAGGCCCATGCTTAGCTAGCTTTCTTATACAACCCAGGACCACCTATCCAGGTAGTAGTGTGTCCCACAATAGACTGGGCTCTCCTGCATCAATTAATGATCAAGACAATCCCCCACAGACATGTCCACAGGCCAATCTGATATGGGAAGCATCTCAATTGAGAGGCCCTTCTCAGGTGACTCTGGGCTGACAGTCAAAGCTAAGTAGGACAGTGCTTTAGAAAGGGATATCAGAAGGACCCCTTACCTCTCTTCCTACATGAAGACACAGCAAGCGGGGATTATCGAAGAACCAGAAAGTGAGTCCCTCATCAAACACTGAATCTTCGGACACCTTGAGCTTGGATCTCCAAGCTTCCAGAACTACGAAAAAGAAATTATTTATTTATAAGCCACCAAGCTTAAGGTCTTCTGTTATATCAGCCCAAACAGATGAAGGTAGTTTACAATGCAGACAGATGCTTCGTTCACTGCCTCCATTGCATCCTGCATCTCAGTGGCTACATTACATTCAGGACAAGCACAAGGACCTTTCTTGCATGTGTGATGGCTTGACCGGCTCTGCATGGAGAGTCAAGGTTAAGAGAGTAGGGCATGTGAGATATGGTTTGGGGGTATCTGTACCAAGAGAGAACAATAGTGATACTGAAGCTGTCTCCTTCGGTTATGTGAGGCTGACATGAGCCAGCACTTGTGAGGCCCTTAGACACATGTCTCAGACACCCAAAGCAGTCCTCAACTATCAGCTCTCCCAATCCTTGTCCTCTTGGAAGGAGAGCAATCTGGCTTGTGTCCCTGCTGCTTCAGCCCTTGGAATGTCTTCATTTCTTATCTCTTTTTACTGGAAATCACAGCATAACCCATTGTGCTAAGAGATTTATGGGAATATTTCCTCTCATTCACACAAGACCCCGTTAAGGTTACCCAGCTACAATTATTCCCATTTTTACCAAGGTGTAAATAAAGAGGAGCATTTTCCCATGATGGTACCAGTAGAAAATGCTGGAACCAGATGTCCAGACATCAGTTCTTGCCTTCTCTCGTCACCTGTTGATCTGCCAAGGCACAGCTCAATGACTTCCTTCTGGGGTCACATTCAGAAACGCTGGCTTCCACTTTTCTCCCCTGTAGCTCACGTCCATAGCTAACTTACCACGCCCATCCTCTGGCTCAAGTCTAGAAAAAGTAGTGAGTGAACAGCCTGAGGATGGGGTCAGCTTTGCGCTCGCAGGTTAGTCCACACCCAGGACGTAGGCTAACCCTACGAGCCTTGCCAAAGTGAACTGAACTCAACCTGACTGACAGAGCTCATTGATGGCAGTGAACTTCTGAATTGCTGTGATCACCCCCAGCTTTTCAGAATTTACACATCTGATTCTCTCTTTTAGAAGGTTACATTCTCTTTCCCTGTTCATCCTTTGGTCTCAGCCACACACCTTCTCTTGGCCAGAAGACAAACAGGTTTTTTGTTTTGTTTTGTTTTTTGTTTTGCCTGCCATTTTAAGTGTGGATTCAGACGTGCCCTGGGTTCTCCTCAGCATCCATCCTCCCTCATACAATCAGTAGCTACCAGGCACCTCCTGCATGCCAGGCCCCAGTGACGCTGAGTGTCCAGGGCGTGTTGTAAAAACAGTCCCCTGTTTGGGGGACTTCCCCTCTATCAGGACAGGTTGGATGAGCACACCTGAGCACAGTGCAGGGGTAAAGGGGACAGGACAGTCCTTATTCCACATTCAAATGAAGCCTTGGGGGTGAGCAAGAAGTTAGGAAGGCAAAAGTGGAAATAAAGGCTGCCTGGGGCAGCAGGAGGAGTGTGTGTGCAGGCCCCAGTGCAAGGGAGGAACCGTGCATGGGAGATTGCTAAGAGGAAGACAGCTGTGACCAGGGGAGAACAAACTCCAGAAAAGCAGAGACAGCAGTGAAACGGGCAGTGAGGTGGACAGAGGTCACAAAGCCGTCCCAACTCTTCACCATGGGAAAAATATTTAGAATTCATTTAAAAAAAAAAAAAAACCTCCAGATTCATGAGGGGCTACACTGCTTCCCTAGTTCTCTTCAAAAACAAGAGGCCATGCATTTTTTTAGCGATTGTTCTGTTGCTGTAACAAGATACTTGAGATAATCAACTTAAAAGGAAGAAAGGTTTGTTTTGGATCACAGTTTTAGAAGTTTCAGACTATGGTTACTTGCCCCTATTGCTTTGGGCCTGTGGTACCACAGTCCAGAAGACCATGCATGGCTCAGGAGGCTGCTCACATCACGGTGGCCAGGAAATCAAAAAACAGACAGGAAGGACTGGGGTCCCAGTAGCCCCTTAAAGGCATGCCCCCAGTGACCTGAGTGTCTTCTCTCAGGCTTCACTTGCTGAAAGTTCCACCACTTTCCAAAACACCATGGATTCTTTTCTAATAATACCATGGATTACAGGCTGAAAAATCAAGCCTTTAACATGGGCTGGGAGACACTCCAGTTCCAAACTACAGCACCAAGGTTTTCACAATTTTATCTGATTGTGTCAGCCCTCTTAATATTTTATTTTATGTGTGTGAGTGCATTGCCTGCATGTGTGTAAGTATACCCATGTCGTGCAATGCCCTCGAAGGTCAGGTGTGGGATCCCCTGGAACTGGAGTTATCGATGGTTGTTAGCTGATACGTGGGTGCCAAGTCCTCTGTGAGAGCAGCCAGTGCTTTTAACCCACTGAGCCATCTCTCCAGCCCATGTGTCAGTCCTTTTAAAATTTAATCTTTAGGGGCTGGAGAGATGGCTCAGCAGTTGAGAACACTGGCTGTTCTTGAAAAAGACCCCAGTTCAAATCCCAGCACCCACATGGCAGCTAATAACCGTCCGTAACTCCAGTATACACACACATAAAATAAAAATAATAAATAAAATATTTTTTAAAACTTAATCTTTAAATTTCAAAAGCAGTTTAGAAAATAATACATAAGGTCCAGGAAGTAAATAAATCAGCATGAATGGAAATTACAAAAAGGAAAATAAAGTTGAAAATAGAAAACAAACCTGTAAGTATGTATTATGTGTAATGTGATCCAGAAATTTGAAATAGAGTCTCCTAAAAGCCAAAGCAAAGAAGGAAAGCAGATTGGTGATAGGATCCCTAATGTCCTTGGTGTATGGTTTGTTCTAACCCAGGAGAACCTCCATCTCTGGAAACTGGAAGGCCAACACTGGCTCTGCCATGCTGGAGCAGGTGGCCATGACAGAGAGGTAAGAGACAAAGGACATATGGAGAGATACCAGTCATGGTGGGAGCTGGGGGTTGGCAAACAGCCTTGAGAAGATGCCATCCCACCCTCTGTCCAGTGTCCCTACCTACAGAGCACTTCCCCAGCATGCTCTCCTTAACTATCAACAGCAACTAGAAGTCACCTGTCAAAATAATATTTACAGATGGCAGAAGTTCAGAGAGGAGACGAGGTTTGCCCAGCATCCCAGAGCTGAGGGTAAAATTCTGAGGTCCTTGACTCCAAGTCCAGGGGACTTCCCAGACCTGCCCTGCTGCCTCAGGAAGAGAGATGGGAGCATTCACCTGTCCCCTTTGTGTGCAGACAGCTGTGAGAAAGTATCATTAGGACACTAGAGAAATGGAATGGCCTCGGTCCCCAGACTCACTCCTATTTCCATATGAACAGGGAGAGGCTACTTTCCCTTAAATCATGAGTGTTTCGAGGTGCACTGTGGCTGAGGGACCTAGAAGTTTGTCTCCCTTTTTTAGCTTCTTCTGTTGAGGAAGGGCTCAGTACCCACACTCAGAGCCAGATACATATACACATACACACACACACACACACACACACACACACACACACACACACGTTTTTCCTTGGGAGCCCAGTGAATGCTGCCTGCAAGAATGCAGCAGTGGTCAGGGCATGGGCTCTGGAGTCAGTAAACACTTAAGAGTCCACAGCATGCCACAGTGTGATGTGCAGTCAAGAAACCAAGACAAAAAAGCGTTGATTCTTCCCTCTAAGAACTGTGAGTGAGCTGCAAGCATCAAAACCCATCATACTAGTTTGTATTTTAGGGATTTATCAGCTTCCGTTGCTGAAAACTCAAGAGGTAAACCTTCGGGAGAGACTTGTTTCTCTTCCCTCAGTTGAAGTGGTTTCTGTAGTTGCTGCATTGGGCCATGTTTTCGCCTACGGTGTTTATAGCATCTCTGGGCTGAAAGCCTCAATAACAAGTCCAGCAGAAAAAAAGGCATCTTTCCTAACCACTTCATCCAAAGCCTGGAACCTAGACTTATGGACTGCTTGCTTGGCCAGGCTTGGGTCACATGATCATCTCTGAGTCAATCACTATGGCTGAGATGGCTGCTGTGCTGGGATTGGGTAAACCTATCTCAGCTTTCTAGGCAGGATGCTGAAGAGGGTCTAACCTCTGTAGAAACAATGGCTGAGTTTCAGTGAGTGATGTAATGCCAGGGTATATTGAGAAGTCTTTAGTAGGAGAGAAAAGAAATGCTCTACCCATTATAGCATCAACCATCATTTCCTGCTCCTCTTCTAATGGAGGAGACCATTACAACCCAATTCAATAATGTAGGGACAGCATGAGCACTGAGTTCTGCAATGGGGCACCCAATGAAGTCTAGGGAAGGAAAAGTCAGGGAAGGGTCCCTGAAAGAAGGTGCCAGAATTCCATTTTAAAGAATGAGTGGGAATCCAGGAGAGCCAGCATATCTATAACTATTGTGTTGGTGCCCACTGGGAGCCACTCATGGAACTAAGCCCTAGGGGAATACTGGTAAGGAAAAGGGACACCAGTCCTACCCTCATGGGACTTCCAGTTCAGTGGCTATAAGCTGAGGAAATCACGTGACCAGAGTGACCCTGACCCTTCTTAGCCCTGTGACTTTGGATAAGTTAGAAATGCTGCTGAACTTCTTCAATCAGAAAATGAAGACAAAAGAATCAAGTTCTAGCACCATCATGAGGACTAAGCAATGCTTACCCCAGCACATGCCCCTGTCCAGGAAGATACTGCCCTTGCCAGCAATCCCAGGTGGGAGCTGCAGTTTCCACCTGGGAACCCATAGGTACTAGCTGGTCTCCAGGGCGTTGCACCAGTTACCAGGCACATCCCTCCCCCAGGGGATGTTTGTAGGTGGTCAGTGCCCTCCCTCTTCATGACCTATCCAGACTATGAGTCTTGCCCTCTCCGTTGCTTCAGAAACTTGTCACAAAGATCCCCAGCAGGCTACCATCCTGTGGCTCTATTCAGTATCAGGTCACAGGAATCACTCTAACAGAAACCTCCCACAGGGCAGGATCTGCTTGGCATGCTCTCACCTTCATGAAGTCAAGGTCAGTGCTCAGGGGCTGGACAGAGCTCCCCAGTCCCATTCCCACAGGGCCCACATCCCTGGAAAACTTTAAACAGGCCCAACCCATCCTCTGCCTGGTTCATCTGTTTGCTGGGTAGTGTGACTCCTGGGCAACTGTCACAAGGCCTGGTTGGTGCTAGTCCCATTTGGCTGGAGGGGAGCCTTTCCCACACTAACTTTCCACACTGGGGTGCCTGCCTCTGGGGTATGGCATGCAGGTGACACAGGCGTTCATCATTTGTAAACAGCCTCTGGAAACCAGTTTTCTCTAGACCTAGGTCTAGACTTCTGCCTCCTGTGGGAAGAGCCCTGGCCCATGAGCGTGTCTCAGGGCAGAGGTTTCCCTGAGCACGTGATGTCCCATGAGTCAGCCAACAGCTCCAAATACAGTAGCACTAATCAAGGAGCCTAGAGGCTTGCAGAGCTCCAAGGATCAAAGTTATCGCAAGAATGAAGCTTCACAGCAAAGTCTCATGGAAAGATTAAGGACTGGTAAAAGGCATCTGATAACACAGGGAATAGCCCTAAGGCTGGACACTGATTTATATATGGGCTTCATTATCCTTTTGAGTCCCAAGCACAAGAAGAATCAGCTCACAGATAACGGAAACTAAAGCAGCAAGAGGGAGAGGCTCAGCCTCAAATTACTAAGGAAATAATATCAAAATTCCGGGTCTCTAGCTGACAGATCAGTCCATAAAGTACTTGCCATACAAGCTTAAGGACCTGAGTTCTATCCCCAGAACCCACATAAAAAAGCCAGGCATGACAGTGTGCTGTTATAATCCCAGCACTGGGGAGACAGAGACAGGAGGAGCTTGGGGCTTGCTGGCCAACCAGCTTAGCCTGTTAAGCAAGCTCCAGATTCAGTGAAAGACCCTGTCTCAAAAAAAAAAAGAAAAAGCTGGATGGCTCTTGAAGAACAGCACCTGAGGTTGACTTCTGGCTGCCACACTCCTGCATGCACACAGATGAACCTACCCAACATGTTCAGCATAAACACACGCACACACACACACACACACACGCACGCACGCACGCACGCACACACGCACACACGCACACACTCCAGTTCTTCTATGTCGAGTAAGAACAGATGAGTTGTGGGACCTGGACACAGACAGGATCTAGGAATGGAAGCCACACCGTCATTTATTAATCTCTAAGCCTCAGTTTCTTCATCTGCAACAGGCGTTCAGCCCTCCATGATTAGGTTGTGGTGAGATTAGAGGAGAGGAGGAGTCAAGCCCCCAGAAAAAGAATGGCACATAGTAAGAACGGAGTGGGTGTGAGTCTGCATCCTTCCTTTTACTCCCAGCATGCTCCTGGCTGTAATTAGATGAGAGGAGAACTAAGATAGGTCCCAGGTGATCTAGGTGAATCTGACCTGTCGTTATCCTGCTGGGTGCCCTTCATGAGTTACCCTTCCTCTCTAGCCTCAGTGGGCCCTAGTGGCTAAGACTAAAGAGTGAGTCCTAAAGCCTCTTCAGCCATGGTCCCTCCTCATTCCGGGGCTTATGGCTCAGAGAACACAAATAGATCCGGGAGAGATGCAAGAGCATTGGCACAAAGTCCCCTGTGACTCCCAAATCCAGCCCACAAGAGAAGCCAAGTGTGAGCCCTGAAGATTTCTCCAGATACAACCAACTCCTTGTTGTAAGGTCAAAGTTCAGAGCCCACATCTGTCCCCAGCAAAGCAAACTGGCCCCACAGCCATCAGAAGCTGGAAAGGGAACAAAAGCAATTGGTCCAAAGGGCCAGGCCCCTGGGCCAGACAGGAGCAGTTTGACCAGCTTCCCCTTCCCCCAGCCTCCTCAGGCTCTGGGAGAATACACCCTTTGTCCCCCACAGGCTCTTGTCTGTCTGGGGCTCTGTGCTGGGAGGGCAGCCTAGAGGGATTTCTAGGGCCCTTCAAGCAGCTTTCCCAAGGGAAAAGGGCTGCTGGGGCAGCTGGGTGTCCAGGATGGCTCCAGATGGGGGGCAGGGTAAACTCCGGCTGCTGCAGTGCCAAGGTTGTGGAGCGGCGATGTGGCAGCACATGGCCACCATCTCTGAGGTCATGCCCCCACCTCCCGCTGGAGCACATCACTCTCTGTGCCTGTTTCGCTGAGCCTGTCTCTCTATCTCCCCATTCCCTCTATCCCTCTGGCCTCCCACCCCGCTGCTTACCCCACTCACTGTCTGCTTATCCTTGCAGGTACAGGCTATGGGTGGACAGCTGCTCAGAAATGTTTGGCGGCCTAGACATCTGTGCTGTCAAGGCCGTCCACAGCAAGGACGGCAGAGATTACATCATCGAGGTGAGGCATGAAACAGGAAGGCCCAGCCTGGTCCACCCCCAGCAGGAGGAAACTCAAGCTGAACACCAGCATGGCAGCCATACCTGGCTCCTGACCTGGCAGATGCAGCTCAGGCCTTAGTGAGCCAGTCCCAGAGGCATCTTCCCCTCTGCCTCATGCACCTTGCCCACCTCAGCTGGCGGCAGCAGGAGCCTCCCTGCTCAGCATGCTGACCTCAGCCTCCAGAGCTCAGGGTACCAGCCATAACTTTTCCTAGCCTGTCAAGCCAAGAGTCCATAAGATTCCATCCCATTGGGCCTTGGCAGTGTCCCCGGTGCTCAAGCACATGAAGTGACCATAATTTCCTGGTCACTATGCAAGAATTCCATCATTTTATTCATGATGCGCTCTGGGGCTCCCTTGGGCCAGGCACTGAGGAGCTTTGGGACATAACTTTGAACACAACAGGTACAGAGTCAGCAGCCTTGGTGGGGAAGGAGACAAAGAAGAAATGGCAGGGCATTGCAGGCCATGGGGATACCATTGTGTAGCCTGTGGCTGGAGGAACAGACGCAACGTCAGAAAACAGCAACGTAAGAGATGTTCACAGATTGACAAGGGGTCCAGAATCGCTCTCAAGATCCTCCTGTGACCCATACCTCTCTTCATCCCACAGCATCCTTGTGTCTCTGTGACCCTCCCCACCATCCTCGGGGTCTCCTTGTCCTCTCGTCACATCTGACTCCTGCCTCCCGCACCCCAAGTGGTTCTCCACAGCTTTCACCTGAAACACCCCCATGGCCTCAGGGGTCCTCTCCTCTCCCAGCTGCCCATCTCTACAGTCACACATGGACCTTGTAGCTCACTCCTTCCATGAGGCTCACTTCTCAACCCACAAGGGAGGAATGGGCTGACACCAGGTCAAGACACGTGAGGGGAGCCCTGTGGCCGCCCCTCCCCTGCAGCTGCCTCTCCACGGGTGTGGGCAGCTAATGGGAGGCACATGGCTGGGGTGACCACAAGAGCCAGTCAGTTCTCCAGTCCCTTATGTCTGCCCTGCTCCCCAAGGACCAACGGGCAGCAGCACCAGGTGACTAAATGGTTGGAAACATGTCTCTGCCAAGAGAGCAACCCACCAGGGCAGGAAGGGGCTTCCTTGGCAGTAGGGCAGGGTCTCACTTGCTGACTTCCTCCCTAGAAAGGCCTAAGGCTTCCACAGGATGAGTGGCATCTCTGTTTAGGATCCTGTTCTCCTTTCGTCAGGGACCGCTTTCCCTCTAACACCAGACCAGAGGTGGGGCGAAGGCCATTTCCCCTGGGGTATCACAGCTCTGACAAGCCACTTAGCCTTGAACTTCCTCACTAGGACACCAGATATGAACCTGGCTTTGGCTCACACATGCTTCTTCATCTCTTCACTCTGGGCATTTGACCCTAAACCAAATGAGTGGGATTTAGCCTTTGGCAGGAGAGTAGGAGAAAGCCACTGTCCCATTAAGAGTGAGAACCCGCCCTGGTCTCCTGGATCAGCATTCTCCACCTAGGAGCTCTGGTCTCTTGAGATTCTCCACTTTCTTTTTTTAGAACAAAAAAGCCTCTGCACCCATGGGTCCCAGCTCCAGACACTCAGGGGGTCAGGAATGCAATGTTTCAGGTTAAAATAAAAAGTAAAAGCAGTGGGTTTGAACTTTAAAAATATAAGAAAACAACTTTTCAAAAATGTTCCAGAAAAAAAAAGATGTCTTTCAGATTTTTTTTCTCAGAAACATTGGAGAATATTTTTCCTTTTCCTTTTGGGTTTGGGGTGGATCAAGGAAGACTGGGAGCTTGTTACTTGGAATATAAAATGTATTTTTCCCAGAAAGGGGAAAAAAAGATAGTAGGGATCCAAAAATACTACCCTTCAGCCACCTCTGCGGTGAGAACAGTTTGTGTGACATGTTCAGTGAGGGTGCTCATGGTCCTCAGGGGAAGCACCCTTGAACTTGTCCTCTCTGACCTGTCCAGGGGATGACCTTCCTCACTGGGAAGAAAACATTTCCCTGGGGAGAGCGAGTGTCCACTTCCTCTGGCTGCGTCCACTATGGGGATTCCAGTTCCTGACCTCATGTTCCTTGTGGTGGCTGTTTTCCACTGCACAGAGTGTGGGGAACTAGCCAGGATGGAAAGGGGTGGGCAGGGTGGGAGGGAGGAGCACCGGGCAGGGTGCGGGAAGCCCATGTGCTTTGGGGACAGACTCCATCCAGCCCCATTGTAACTGCTGATGGAGACTGCCTATGTGCCATGAGGGGTCCCAGATTCAGATACATATCCCACCCCAGGGAGCTCCATTTAAGGGTGGTTTTCAGGACCTGCTGACATCCATATCCATGTCATTGAATAGCTTTCTTTTCAGCTTTTGAGGCACACTGGGTGCTTGTACTCACAGACCCCTAAAAATCCCACCAGAAGGGTCTTAGCAGCTGCTTGAACCCTTAGTTAACAGTTGACAGAAAATCTACGCATAGTGGAAAAGGGGTTTATCCAAGGCCTCTTACGAAGTCGGTAGCAAAACATAGGCCTGGATACCCCGTTGCTTCTTCTAAGATCCTACCACAAAGAGCTGCCCAGTACTTGGTAAGAATGTCCCTGCTGACTTAGAACTTAGCACTCTCCTACCCTCGTTTTCATCATCACTCTCATGAGGAGAATCGTAACAATTATAAGCCCTGCATCAAAGAGCTATTCTTGTTATTTTGAGGAAGGGTCTCATGTCACCAAAGCTGACCTCAAACTCAGTTATGTGGTCAAGGAAGACCTTGAACTTCTGATCCTCCTGCCTCCACCTCCTGAGTGCTGGGATTACAGGTGTGTGCCACCACACTCATATTTATTAAGTGCTGAGGATGAACCCTGAGCCTCATGCATGCTAGGCAAGCACTCTACCAACTGAGCCACATCCCCAGCCCATCAAAGAGCTAGTCTAGGATAGCTCTAGCATCCATATCCAGTTCTTAGAATAGTGCCTTGCACATGTTCAGTGCTCAGTGAAACTGCACTCTGTGCCTTAAATAATGAGCAGAGCTTACTGCAAGACCCTCCCCTTCCTCCAGGGCACAGGCTGCCCCTGACCTTCTAGGCTTACAGATGGCAAGTGATAGTTCTGTGAACTAAGCTCTCCAATGGGACCCCTAAGACAGCACAGCACAAATACAGGTACAGAGAGGCTCCTAGGAATTCATGCAGTCCTGGAGGGTTTCCCAGAGGCTGGCTAGGTGGTTCCCGGACCAGCCAGGTGAGGAGTGGGCTGAGGGAATGAGGTACGGAACCTGGAAGAGAGAACCTACCTGAACAAAGGGGAAGCAAGTAGACAGGTTTGACAGGGTGAGGCAGGTGAACACTACTGGCTTGATTTCTATGGTAGAAAAGAGAGGGTGACCAACAGCTTTTTTTTTTTTTTT